TTGTTCCTGAGTGTGGGATTTACAGGTGAAAATGGAGAAGTAGGGTACTTTTCCATTTAAGATTTTAAACTTGTATTTGAATAATTGGACTTTCATAAAATAAAAAGTTTAACTCAAGCACATCTGTACTGTGACAATTCTAGAAATTCAGTATTGGTCATTTGATTCCTAGTTCTTCCTATAAGGTACTGTGACTTTTTTGGAAAATTTTAATCAGTAATTTCCTGTCTTTTCGGTGTTCAGCTTGTTGCTTAAAAGTGGTTGGATAATAAATTAAATCTATTAAGACATTTGGGAGTATAATGTAGTTCCTTTCTTTAATTTCTGACAAAGAGTGGACAGAATCCTAGTTCAGAGATTAATAAGTTTTAAATAGAATAGATACTATGCTGTGGTCTCTACTCCTGCCATGTTGTTGGACATGACATCTTCTGAAGGTGTTGGCGAGAGGAAGTATATTATGCACCGTCACAAAGGAGCCTTCAATATGTAACCAGAACGAACTGAAGATAGCATATGCACGCTTGGGTTTTCTTCCTTGAAATCAAATCTCCTTATTGATTTGGGACGTTCAAGTTTTGTCAGATTTATAGTGTTACAAAAAAGACTAGATACTTTGATTTTTGATATATAATCTTAATTATGATAATCTTAATTTCACCTCTACACACTGCTCTGTGATGTTCTGTTCCACAGGCTACCTCTGGCCTTGTTTTGGCTGATGATATAGAACTTTTCCTCTGTCTCTTCCCACAGATGTAGTCAATCTGATTATGGGATATTCCATCTGATTAGATCTGTGTCTTCTTTTATGTTGTTTAAAAAAGGTATTTGCAATGAAGAAGTCACTGGTTTTACAAACTTCTGTCATGCGATCTCCAGCATATTTTTTATCAAACTAGACCATATTTCCCAACCATTGGCCCTTCCTCTTTGTTTCCAACCTTTGCATTCTAATCACCAGTAATTATTAATACATCTTGATTAATGTTTGATCAATTTCAGACTAAAGAAGTTGATTGTTGTTGTTGTCAGGTGCCATTGAGTTGGAACCGACTCATAGCGACCCCATTGATAGAATTCTTCAATTTCATTATCATTGTCTTTAGTGGTTGGTACGTAAGCTTGAATAATAGTGGTATTAACTGATCATCAGTGTAGGTGTATGGATATTGTCTTATCGTAGACAGCATTATACTTCAAGTTATATCTTGAGATTTTTTTTTCCCAAGCCAAACTGTATCCAGCTTTATTAAAGTTATTTTTCTTAAACAGTCATAGTATTCAGGCAGGACATGGGCAGACAGTTGTGAACATTATACAATAACTTTCAAACTCACTTCTTCAATGGACTGCCAAAATCAGAAAGCCACTATAAAATCCAATGACGTCTTCATCTGATGCTCTGAACAGGGAAAGTTTAGAGTGAGAGTTGACAACATTTCACATTTAGCATGTTTAACAACTATTCACAAGCTGACCTGACTCTCAAAATTAAATGAAAATGGCAGAATTACCAATCTGAAGACCCATAATCTAAACAAAGGAACCACTGCTCTTTTGAGGGGTGCCACGAGATGGCATCAGTGGAAAGTCCAGATTGCCTGACATGAATAACCAGTTTTCTGAGGTCAGGTCCCAGCAGGTTGCTGGGTTTATGAGAGTCAAGTCTATGCTGATGGCAGAGAGGGAGACGAGGATATGAAGATGTAAAAACAAATTGTAATTTTTCCATACCACATGGCATTTGTACCAGGGTAGCTAATATGTGTTAACATCAGGGAATCCCTCCTCTTGGGAACCAAGAAGGAGTCCCTGAAAACTAGATGGGAAAGGTGTTTGCTACCATAAGTCCAGTTTTGGAGACATTGTATTCATGACGTTTGCCCCTTTTCCCAAAAACAATGAACTGTTTTGTGTGCGAACAACTTAGCTTTTTTTAATAAATAAAACAAAAAACAGTAAAACAAAATTCTGCATTTTTATGAAACTTCATAAAAAGTAGCATTTCAAACTGTATAGTCACCAAAAGTCCACAGTTTTCCAAAATGCACACACTGCACTTGGCATCCCCAGCACCTTCAGCTTTCTGTGCCTGGTCTGTTTTGACATCTCCATTTTCTGCTGGGTTTTCCCCATTTTTGCCAGCATCAGCTTCCCCTTTTCCCCTTTAGGTACATTCTTTCCCTTCATTACTGGGGGCTTTTTAGGCTTAGGCTCTGACTTTGGAGAGGAAGGAGCAGGTTTAGCAGTTAACTTTGAGAATCTCCTCTGAGGTTCATCCTTCACTGTGGCTTTATCGTCCTTAGCATTCTCTTGGGTGTGGTGGCGATGGTGGTAGGGTGCAGGCGTTCTAGTTGGTAAAGGGGCTTTGGTCAATCTGGGAGTTGTTTTCACCTCTCCACACTGCTCCGAGACCTTCTTTTGATGATGAATGCGATGCTATTAAAACAAGTCCACCAGAGCCAAAATATGACCTTGGACATATCCCACCTGATTTTAGAGATCATCTCAAGAACAGATTTATTGCATTAGGTACTACTAATGACCAAAAACCAGAAGAGTTATGGGATGACATCAAGATCATCCTACAAGACAAAAGCAAAAGGTTATTAAGAAGACAGTTAAGAAAGAAAAGACCAAAATGGATTTCAGAACAAACTCTGAAACTTGTTCTCCAGTGTAGAGATTGCTAAAGCAAATGGAATAAATGAGGAAGTAAAAGCTGAGCAGAAAATTGAGAAGACAAATGCAAGTGTTATAATGAAATGTGCAAAGACTAGGAGTTAGAAAACCAAAAGGGAAGAACATGTTAAGCATTTCACAAGCTAAAAGAACTGAGGAAACAATTCAAGCCATGACTTGTAATGTTAAAGGAGTCTATGGGCAATATGTTGAAAGATGCAGATAGCATCAGAAGAAGTCACTGTACCAAGACGAAATGGTTGGTGTTTAGCAATTTCAAGAGGTCACATATGATCAATAGTCACTGGACTGAAAGAAGAAGTCCAAGGTGCACTGAAGGCATTGGCAATGAACATGCTCCAGGAATAGATGGAATACAGATTGCTGATTTTCAACAAATGGATGCAGCACTGGAGGCACTCACTCTTCTATGCAAAGAAATTTGGAAAACAGCTAGCTACCTGGCCAATTGCAAGAGATCCATTTTTGTGCCACTGGAATATGGAAATCATTTGGTCAATGTCAGTATCACATGCAAGTAAAATTTTTCTGCTTGATAATTCAGAAACAGCTGCAAAAGTACATTGACAGGTTGCTGGTAGGGGTTCAAGCTGGATTCAGATGAGGACGTGGAATGAGGGATATCATTGCTATTGCTGACATCGGATGGATCTTGATGGAAATCAGAGAATACCAGAAAGGTGTTTACCTGTGCTTTATTGACTGTGCAAAGGATTTCGACTATATGCATCATGCCAAGCTATGGATAACATTGCAGAGAGTGAGTATTCCAGAACACCGAACTGTGCTCACACGGAACCTGTATACAGACCAAGAGGCAGTTGTTAGAACAGCACATGGGGACACTAAATGGATTAAAATCAGTAAAGGTGTGTGCTAGGGTTGTTTTCTTTCACTATACTTATGCAGGCTGTATGGTAAACAAATCAAGAACTGGGTTATATGAAGAAGAACCAGGCATCTGGATTTGAGGAGGATTTATTAATAACCTGTGATATGCAGATGATACAGCCTTGCTTACTGAAAGTGGAGAGGACTTAAAATATTTACTGATGAAGCTATACACCGTCAGCCTGTAGTGTGGTTTGCACCTCAATGTAAAGAAAACCAAAATCCTCACCACTAGACCAATAAATAACATAATGATAAATGGAGAAAAGATTGAAGTTGGCAAAGACTTCATTTTGCTTGGATTCACTGTCAACACTCATGGAAACAGCAGTCAAGAAATCAAATGACATATTACATTAATCTGCAGCAGAAGGCCTTTTTAAAGTTTTCAAGAGCATAGATGTCAGTTTGAGGAGTAAGGTCCTCCTGACTCAAGCCATAGTGTTTTCAGTAGCTTGTGAAAGCTAAAATAACCAATCAGGAAGACTATAGAAGAACTGATGCATGTAAGCTATGGTTTTGGAGAATATTAAAAGTACTATGGACTTCTAGAAGAACAAGCAAATCTGTGTTTGAAAAACTACAGCCAGAATGCTCCTTAGAAGCCAGGATGATGAGACTTGTTAAATGCTGTTGAATCGACTCCGACTTAGCGACCCTGCATAGGGTTTCTGAGGAGCAGCTGGTGGGTTTGAACTGCTGACCTTGGTTCGTAGTCTAGTGCTGATCCTACAGTGTTACAGGGACCAGTTCCTTGAGAAGGATATCCTGCTTGGCAAGGTGGAGGGTTAGTGAAAAAGAGGAGGGATTTCCCCCCCCTCGCCCCCCACCATCCTCCATGAGATGAATTGGCACAGTGGCAGCAACAGTCAGCTCAAGCTTAACAACAATTGTGAGGAGGGCGCAGGACCAGCATTTCTTTGTGTTGTGTATATGGTTGGTAAATGCATGGGAATCAACTTGTTGGCACCGAACAACAACATTCCTACTTATCCCTGTAATCCTGTAGGAGAAATTTTTTGTTTTTTCTGTATTTTACATAGCAGGAAACTGAGACTCGAGAGAGTATATCTGACCAAAGATAGACTCAGGATTGAAACCCAATTCTGCTGGTCAGAACCTCCTCTTTGCCCTCCACACCTACGAGGAGGCAGCTACCGTGAATGTGAATAAAAGGAAGGTTTGTCATGACTGCCACCATCCTTGACTGTGCCGTACTAAGTGATAATAACACAGAAATGGAGTTGCATTACAGATTGTAATTGCCAGATATTTTAGAATGGTGGAAGTTAGTGGACATTCAGGTCTTGTGAGCAAGTCACATGTCTTTCCTTAAAGAATCAAACGTTTTCTTAATATTTTTTTTCCTGAGGAAAACTGTCTGATTTGTTTTGTTTCCTTAGAAATTCAATGAAAAAGATTTGGAAGCACTTCAGCAGAACTGTCATTTAATGACTGGGGAGGATTTCAAGTTCAGAAGTGAAGGCTTAATAGCAGAAAAGTGCTCTTCTCAACAGTCACCAGGCAGCAAAATCATCTTCTTCGAGGTAAGCTTGACTGAAATTGGTTCACATGCGAATGTATTCATATTCTTTTCTGAAACTTATTTGATAACTCATTTGATCTAGAGAGATCCTCAATTGCCTTCTTGCTGATAATTGAACTTACAGCAGGTAGGTGGAGTTGTTCTTTAGCTACCTTGCAGATTAATATTCTTTAGCTGAGCATTAGTATTTATACTGCACACGAAACTGAGAAGTCCTAGAAGTTAAATGATGAGTTTTTTGTTTGTTCCATCAGGACTCATTTTTTTTTTAAAGCTTTTATTGTGAATTGAGTGATAGTTTACACGAGAGAACATCAGTTTTGCACTCATTCTATTGTATTTTATTTCATTGCAATGATTATAATCACTTCCATGAATCATCATTTAACAGTATTTGCTTCTCTTCCCTCTATTTATTTATTTTATATACACAAACACACTCAGGAATATATAATCATTTAAACAGGCAAAAGGCACAAACTGCAAACCTGTCTCCTGGCCACCAGCACACAACCTTTCTCTTTCCATGAGTCTAGAGTCCTTAGCTGCTCTATCTCTCCATGCCATTTCCTCTGCCTCCATCTCTGGTGTCGCTACTTCTCTGGCTAGGGTCCCACATTCCGCTCATGCTCTTCTCTCTTGATGGTGCTAGCATCCCTGTTCTGGAATGTAAGATTAACTACTCCCTCCTTTATGTTAGAAAATGCCTACCTTTGCAGTTGTGACAATAGTAATTAGTCATGATAACCATTACTCACTATTGAATCAAAAGAATCCTATCCCCATCTCCTTTCACCAGACCCATCTAGACAAGATGAAAACTATTCAGTGGGGTTCTACCTTCTCCTGCACACTCTAAAACTAAACTCCCTTCTTGGAAACTTGTAAGCCAATCGCTTCATACCTTTAACACACCCCTCTCCTTTTTAGGTAGCCAATGTCTAAGTTGCCTATCCCTATCAACCCTGTATACCAAGGGGATATGCTTGATCCTTGATGTGAAGACTCCTTCCCTCTCATTTGTTATTTTGAGCAACTACATCCATAAACAAAGGTCAGGTTCATCAAATTATCCTCCTTTAGTTGAGCTCTGGTCATCAAGTCATTGAAGCTAAGTCAAATGGGTGCTATCTACAAATTTGAGCATTTTTGTGCATCTCCCCCCACTTCATATCAACTGGATGCGTCACTCTCAGTTATAGCCCTCTGTGGCTAGGTCAGTGTCCATGGGCTTAGGAGTCCCTAAGTCTCCTCAAATTTTGATCCAACCAGCCCTTTCTCTTCTCTCTCTCTTCTCAAGGAGTCTATGGAACGTGGTCAAACTCAGTCCATATCTTCATCACTGACTTTATCCTCTACTTTCACTCACATGTTGACCAACATGGCCGCCATTGAGCTTACATGCCTGCTCGTGTGTTTTCCTTTGAGTTTCAGTCTTGGAGGGGGGTTTGTCCTGAAGAGACTTGAGTACTTGCCTTGCTGGCTCCCTGGCAAACATATTGTTTGTTCTTGTCATAGCCAAACAGACTACCATTTTTTTTTCTTTCCTGCTGGTCTTTTTTTCAGGACGTATCTTCTGTTTCCACCAGGACTTTTGAAAACGATATGCTCCGAAATGTTTGGAACATTTTTCTGTTTGCTACACCCTTCCTCTGACCCCAAATTATCTTTCTGACCCCATTTTCATTCCTCCATCATCTTTAACAATAGCTAACTTCTTGCAGATTCCTTAAATCACCAGAGTCTCTACATCTCTGTGTCTTTGCACGCATTGCATGTGTCTGAAATATCTTTTCCTTCCTGGTTTACCTGGTAACTTTGGACCATCCCTATAAATGCCACTCTTGTGTCACCTTTGTGGAGCCTTTCTTGACCTTGCTTAATACTGCCATCTCCTCTTTCCAGGTCACAGCACTTTTCATGCCCTGCCCTTGTAGTACTCACTGCCTTTTTATTGACACTATAGGACTTCCCTTTCTGGTTTCTCTCACTCGAGCCCCTGCACACCATGGGTAGACACCTCATGGGTAGGTAACAGACATTCATCTTGGAATCCCATTGTCCAGCCCAGTATCTGGCTCAGTAAATGTTTGTTGAGTGAATGATTGGTTATATTGATTTGTGAGAGATACGTAGAGATTACTCTGACACTCTGCCCATCACCCCTGCCCCTTACCTTTAATGCAAATTGGCCGCCATATATGGGACAAGAAAAGAATTTAACTTTAGGTCTTTTTTTTTTTTTTTTTCCTTTTAAACCTTGTTGTTCTTGTTGTTAGGTGCCGTCGAGTTGGTACCGACTCATAGTGACATTATGCACAGCAGAATGAAACACTGCCCTATCCTGGGGCAACCTCACTACTGTTGCACGCTTGAGTCCATCGATGCTGCCACTTGGCCAGTCCATCTCGTTGGGGGTCTTCCTCTTTTTCTCTGTCCCTCCACCTTGCTAAACATGATATCCTTCTCCAGTGACTGGTCCCTCCTGACAATATGTCCGAAGTATGAGAGATGACGTTTGGCCATCTTAGCCTCCAGGGAGCACTCTGGCTGCACTTCTTCCAGAACAGATCTATTGGTTCTTTTTTTTTTTTTTTCTATTGGTTCTTTTGGCAGCCCATGGCACATTCAATATTCTCCTCCAACACCATAACTCAAATGCATCAATTCTTCTATGGTCTTCCTTATTCACTGTCCAGCTTTCGCATGTATATGAGGTTATTGAAAATACCATGGCTTGGGTCAGGTGCACCTTAGTCCTCAAGCTGACATCTAATTTGAGAAGCTGGGTTATATGAAGAAAAACGTGGCATCAGGATTGGAGGAAGGCTCATTAACAACCTGTGATATGCAGATGATATAACCTTTTAAATCTAGCTGACATTAATTAAGTTCATACATTTAGAAGACAGAGAACTCTTACGCAAATTAGTTCTCTGATGAATGGCTCTGGTCATGACTTGTGGTTTTGTGAATGGTGGTTCTCAAAATAATTAACAACCGGTACAGCACAGACATCAACCATCCCAATAGACTAGGGCAACAGGGCTGGAGTGGGGTCCTGGAGCCTGCTCTTGTTCCAGATACCAAGTCTCTCATTACTGGATTATGGGGAGGTCTCAAGGGGCCTAGGTAGAAGGGCCCAGGCCAGCAGGGAGGTGAGAATGGATGGACCAGAGGGTTATTTTCCACCTGGTATAGGAATATTTCACTGTTTTAGTAAGCAGTATGTTATGGTGCTGTGTAGGTTTCAGTGGAGCTTCTAGAGTAAAGTGAACTAGAAAGAAAGGTCTGGTGATCTGCTTCTGAAAGTCACCAGTGAAAACCTCATGATCACATTAGTCCTATCCACAACTGATGCCATTGATGGTGCAGGACAGGGTAGCAGCGTCTTGAGGGCATAGTTGACTGACCAATGGGAGTTCTTTCTGATCTCGCACTTTTTGGGAATTTGTACTTTGCTGTTTCTCTTGAAAGAGTGACAGCATGAATTTGTGAAAGAGCCTTTGAGCTGGGTCAGGAACGAGGCTTTGCGCGGGGCCTAGGTTTCTCTCCTGGCTTTTTCACTTCACTTGGGTTACCTTGGGCAAGTCTAGTAACTCTCACATTACAAACATACTGTGATATTAACTTACATATAGTTATTTGATTTAGTTGGGCTGTTAAGATGCACATTAACCTGTAATAGTTACAGTCTATTTTGAAACAAGATAGTAACCTGTCAGCATTTTTTAAAATAGACGTTTCCACTAATTTGAATCACATTTCGTTAAACTTTTCTATTTTAAATCACCTTTTAGTCATATAACATGTATCTAAATATTGAGCAAAATGTGTTTTTAAATTTATTGAACAGATTATTTTAAAATTTAATTTCACAAGGTTTATTATTTGTGGTATATCAGTTTTAGGTTTTTGCATGGGGTGATGTTTGTAGTTCATATAACCACAAGTAGTAAGTATTTTATTGGTGTTTTGATTAATAGTCAGATCCTGGTGATTTGTAAATTAGTGTACAAAATACCCAAGTATATTAGTAAAAACTTTAATTTTGTTTTGTAAGGCTAGTTGTAAATTTTGGATAAAGAATGATAAATAATCACTTGAAGATTGTATACGTTTCTATACGTTTCTAGATAGCAATTTAAGAAATATCCACTGTTATAGCCTTACAGCTTTTGTCTCCCCTCAGAAAGAGTTACTTTTTAGGTTATAGTTCTAAGTAGAAAACCTGGATTTCTTCTGCCATGCTCTTGTCCGGTTTGTGATGATTTAGGACTTATGACAAAGAACATGAGGCTCTGATGATGTCTCCAAAGACTGGGCACTCAGCTTTCCCACTGATCATTGTGTGAGCCTGAGAATTAATGCCAAACTACCAGGAAATTGGAGCATAGAGAGTTAAACACACTGACCATATTTAACTTGCTACAGCCAGAGATTTATTGCTTGGTTGTTGACATGGTTAAGACATTGCTGCTGCAGTTTCCTGAGTATTAAAATAAATGTCTTTGTTGCTGAGCTGTGACATAGCTCCAAAATAGATGCAATCTATCTACCAGGCCTCTGAATTGCAGTGATACCAAGAAGAGCCCTGTAAGTTTTTCTTTACCTATCTGCTGCCTCTGCAGATTGCATGTGCTTCCTTCAAGTTTTTAAGGACACTGTGTAGTCTTTAAGGACACTAAGTAGAAAATGTCTTGGCTTTAGTGCCCAAGTGCCATTTCTGTGACCTTGGGCAGGCCATTTGAAAGTCACCTTTCTATTCTCTAAAATGGAGAATTACATGCTTGTTGCCCAGAATTAGCTGAGAGGATTAGAAATACTGAGTATTACTTGAGGTTTCTTTGGGTTGCAAACTATAGAAATGTTGGGGAGCTTGAGTCAAACAACAATAAAAAGGGACTATTTACTAGGAACGTGCTCACACATGCCAGGGAAGTGTTGAGCAACTGTATCTTGAGGAAGACAAACACCGTGGCAGCTCCATGGCCTCACAAATAGAAGCCGTGGATGCTAGGGCACTATTGTTGATGTGACTCCCGACTTCTGGCCTCTCTGTCTAGTCTCTGAATTCCTGGTAGAGAATCTTAGTGGTTTCGCCTGGGCTCAGGGGCTAGCTCACAAAGGAAAGTGCTCTCGCTGGGACTCATCCTAAGGTTTCAGAGGTAGTTCTTGGATGAGGCAGGCAAATAGTGGTGAGCTGGGTGGTCACTCCAATGGCTCTCCTCACATACTGTTTATGTAGATTCTGACAAACAGTAGATGTGTGGTAAATGGTAAGTCTTCCTTATGTGGAGAGGCCTCCTCTCTGGGCTTAGGACATATTGTCAGGAGGGACCAGTCGCTGGAGAAGGATATCATGTTTGGTAAGGTGGAGGGTCTGAGAAAAAGAGGAAGACCCCCAGTGAGATGGATTGGCAAAATGGTAGCATCAGTGGGCTCAAGCATGGCAACAATTGTGAGGTTGGCCCAGGCACGGGCAGTGTTTTTTTCTGGTGTGCATAGGGTCTCTGTGAGTCGGTACCGACTTGATAGCACCTAACAACAACAATTAGTAAATATTTTCTGGGAAAATATTTTGAATCTACATGAAGATCCCAATTCTTTTCAGAGTTTCATCCAGCAGTTTTAGCATTCATTGATGTTTCTTGGCCAAATTATTTATTAATGTGATGGTTGGCAAATGGTGGCTTTTATAATCCCATCATTCCTTGTGCCTTTGTTGGCATTCTACTGTAAGCAAAAGCTTCCTCTTTTCCTTTTATTCATTCAATTATTTATTCATATCAGTATAGATACATGGCTTTCTGTTTTATTCTGTGGGTTATAATCTATTACTATTGTGATATAATGATCAATTTTATATGACCTTTCTTAGGCATGGTCTTGTTACTTCTACCAAATGATTAGGGTCTTGTTGTTAAGTGTCACTGAGTCAGTCCTTACTGTTAGCAATCCTGTCTGCATAGGTTTTCTGAGGAACAGCTGATGGATTTGAACCACTGACCTTGTGGTTAGTAGTTTAGTGGTTATCCTACACCAGGACTCCAAATGATTGTGTAGGACTAAGCAATAAGATGCGTGTACATTGACAGCTTTCTGATAGTGCCTGGGTGAGGCCATGCCAATAAAGTATGTAGACCCTAACAATGCAATTAGCCCTGTTTTGCCATGCTGTTAGGCTTAAAATGAGACATTCCAGAGGCAGACCTCCCTACCACCCAGAAGAGGAGAAAGGTGCAAGGTACATTCTTTGGCCCTGAGGCCCCTGCACTGAGAACCTCTTAGACCCAGGAGGCAAGCTAGCTGTACCACCAAAGATGGTCTAAGACATTGAACAGCAAGCTGCAGCAAGCAAAGGGGACAGAGAAATGGCAGCAACAGAACCAGTAGGCCAGCAGAAGGTTCTGTGGTCTCTGTGACACACAGAGCCAGAAAGTTGGGCACTGTGCTGCAGAAGGCTTGTTGGCAGAGTGGTGCGTCTGGGCCCATGATGGAACTTGGCTTCCCAACTCATGAAGCTAGAGAGATAAGTGTCCTCAGGCCCAGGCTTACTGATGGAGTGGGGACCTCTGGACACTTATACTGGTGCAACCAACATTGGAACGCTTGCTCAAGCAGGACAGTGGCCTGCTGACCCATGACTCCCCAAGGGCCAAGAAGCCAAAGACCTGGGGCATGACTGAGAGACTGACCTGACCAAAGAACTATGTCCCGAGGTCTTCCTGGTCCTGAATTGTACCTGTTGCTTCCCTAGTAAACCTTATAGTTGTGAATATTATTTGACTTCTGTGTGGTCATTGCAATGAGTTCTTGAAACCAGCCGAGAAATAGAGAGTGCCATGGGAGGGAGAGCTGGTGTCGAACTGGTAAAAAGGTTGGTGAGAAGAGATGTCTGATACGTGCTTCATAGGAGTCAGCCTTGGACTGCTACCACTAATGATTCTCCTCCCCTTTGTGAGGAGAATATGCGGCCACTAGACCACCTTACAACTGTCAGCATTTATTTGTCTCAGACTTGACTAGTAGGAGTCTCCTCAAGCTGGCTTCAGTGTCCTTTTGGCAATTGTGGTGGTGGTTACGTGCTGTCGAGTTGGTTCCGACCCATAGCAACCCTGCCTAAGGTTTCTGAGGAGCGGCTGGTGAACTTGAACCACCGACTCCATTGTTATTTCAGCATTTTCTGATTTTTCTGGCACAACAAAGTGTTACAGATACATCTTGTGTTATTCTTATTTTCTTTGCCTCATTCCTGGAATCAGTTATTTCTCCAGAGACCCCTGAGACCTTACACAGATTTCACTTTTCTCTGTTCCTCACCAAGATCAGACAGCTAGTAAATGGCATAGGTCCAACTCAGATCTCTGTTCTGGGTGCCTCCCCAGTGCTACTAACTCAACTTCTTCAAAGTCCCTGTTGTTGTTGTTGTTGTTAAGTGCTGTCGAGTCCATTCCAACCCATAGCAACTCTGTATAGGGTTTCCGAGGAACAACTGGTGATTTTTTAGCTGCCCTTGCCATCTGGTGCTTAACCTACAGTGCCACACCAGGACTGCATTCAGTCCCTAGTACTCAATCAAGTTTCAGTTTGTGTATAAGTGGTTTGGAGTAAGAGTGAGTGTGTAAAGGCATTGCCTGTGGTGTTGTGAAAACTGAACAATAGCTCTGAGGGTGGTAGCTTTATGATGGACAAATCGGAAGACTGATGCTTCTTTAGTAATAGCTGGTTACTGTGAAAAGCTGTGTTGTTTTCACTCTTGGGTAAGAGACGGTCAGTCATTCCCTATGTCTCCTGAAGGTGGTGCTCTCCAACTGTGGTCTGATCCAGAGCCTGGCACATGCAGGGACTCACCTCAGTTTAGCTCTCAAAACCAGAACTATTTACACAAACTAAATATTGTAAGGATGGACTTAAAAAAAAAAATTCTTCCCTTAATGTCAGATACCCACTGTCATTCACAGGAAAAGCAACAATCAAGCTATGAAGAGCTGATTCAGGTCTTAAAGAAAGAGCAGGCCATCTATTCCCGTCTGGTAAACTCTGTACAGGACACAAACAGGTAGGTGTTTCTGCTTGCACAGTGAGCACATTTGTGCACAGACATGTGTACACACTCATTTCCTGAGAAATGCTGGTAGTTTCCTGAGGCAGCAAAGCCCTTCCAGTTTGCTTAGGAAACTTATAAAGTGTTTGGATGTTGATTGCCTTACTTAAAAAATCAGCTAGACCTTCGTTTTATCAAGAATTATCTGATTTTTGGCATAAAACTTAGGCTACAAATAGCACAGTAGGTAGTTAGATTTCTGTAGTGCTTTATTGATAGATTTAGAAGTGCTTTCCTGTGTGTCATTATCCATCATTCTCACAGCAGTTCCCGGAGGTCAGTAAAGCTGTTATTCCTATTTTACATAAGGCCATCAAAGCTAAGAGAGGTTTTGTGACTTGTCCACGGTCACACAGGAGGTGAGTGACAGCCTCAGCATCCAAACTTGTTTCTGCCTTTCTTAGTTTGTATTTTGAAGGAACACAAGTCTTTACAAGTTGCTGATACATGATTTGGTGCCAACGAGGTTAAGTTGACTTGATCCAGTGTTGGCTTTCCTATACTCTAGCTCTGTGTCCACAGGCAAGCTTCTTTGTTTGCCCACCTGTGAATGAGTGGAGGGTCAGGCTCAGGAATTGCTTACTTTAAGAAATCATCTTTCTACTTACTAGGGGAGCTCCAGTTGAAAGGATACAATGTCTAGGATTTGTATCAAGATTGTACCAAGTGGAGGGGATGGATGGGGTATCAAAACTGGCTCTAACGCTCAGGACGTGGGGGCTGGGGCATGAGTAAATGGGAGGGGCTCATTACACTAGTTTGTGTTCATTTATATCTGCCTAAAACTTACCATAATACAAAGTTTTACAGCTCATCTTTTGCTTTTCCTTCCCTCTGTCTTTCTCACTACCTCTGTTTAATTATTCATTGTTTTTGGGCTATGTACTCTCTTGCCGCTGCCTCCTCCCCTTCCTGAACACTCCCTACTTTGTCTCCCACTAGTCCTTCAGAGTTCAACTTGAGTGATACCCTTGTCAGGAGGCCCAAGCCAAGTGCTTGGACAATTACGCCGTTTACCGAAGAAGTCTCTTTACTAATCGGCCTCCTCTTCTAGATCAGGCGCTCCCCGAGGGTAGGGATCAGCTCTTACTTGTCTCCATATCCTAAGGCCTGTCACAGAGCCTAGTAGAGAGTAGACACTCGGGAAATGCTCAGTGGATGAAGGCCCTCCCAACACGAATCTTCTAAATTATGAGCTAATTTTCAAATTTTAAGATCTGAAATGAATTTAGAGAAAATGAAAACATCCTGATGAAGTTCTCAGAGTCGATAAGACTCTGATGTGAGGTTTTTTTCAAGAAGCTTCAGCTGCTAGTCAGTTTCTCTTGGAGGAGGGGCTCAGTAATATTGGGAAACTCTGAGGGGATGGATAAATTGAGTTTTAATTATGCAGCTTTTTGGGGTGGAAGGCATATTTGATTGAGGACACTGAGAAGACCCTCTGGGTGGATATGGTTGCTCTCCAGACCCCTTGACGTCATTCCTGGCTCTGAGTTTCACAGGTTCTCTCTTAATAAATCGAAATGTGGCATGAGACCGAGGCAGGTCAGAGGTGTGACGAGCAAAGATGCTTTTTTAAAAACTTTCTTGTTTGTCTTCAAAGTCACAATATGAGTGGGCTTCAAAAAGTTCATGAAAAAATGGAATGAAAGATAATAGAGTTTTTCCATGATCTTTTTGATGCTCCCTTGTATATATAGAATGAGACAGATCTGGGTCCAAATTCCGGCTCTGCCTCTCACCAGCTCTTAACTCTTGGCTAAGTTATTTATCACCTGGAGTCTCAGTTTATGTGCCTGTAAAGTGTACTTGTCTTTCTCCCTACCCTACAGAGTTGTTTTGAAGTTGGAGATGATACATGTAAAGTCCTAACACAGCCTGGCACATAGTAAACACTCAGTAACAGTTGTTAGAAACAGCAACAATATGAAATGAAAAATTTGCATACCCAGCAATACCCCAATATGCTTAAACTCAGCACGTTGGGGATTTTGGAATCTTTAGACTTTGGCAGAACCTTCAGAGCAGAGCACAGGATTGTGGGTTAAGGCAGGTGTGGAGCCCATTGTTTAACTCCAGCTTTGTTCACTCCCTGGAAACTAGCAGTAAAAGTAGTTGCCATACCTGTAATTAAAATTGGAAGGGGATGGTGGGCGGTTGTGTGTTCCATCCTTTTTCCTTTACTGTTGGTCACATAGCACTTAGAAGTCAGTAGTTCCATTCCCATATTATACAAGTGGAAATCTATCCTCTTTGAGATGTTAAGTGTATTACCCAAAGGTTTTACAGATAGGAATTATAAGAGCTCCGAATTGTCTGTCTCCCAAGCCTAGATCTGTACTAAAATATCATTTGTCTTGAGGACCAGTACAATGTGCACTTCCCTGCAACTCAGGGTTTCTAAACCTCAGCACTGTTGGCATTTTAGGCTGAATGATTTTTTGATCATTGTCCTGCACACTGGAGGATGTTTAGCAGCATTACTGGCCTCTAGCCACCCCATGCCAGTAGCACACGCTCCTCACCTCTTCATTTATGACAACCAAAAATGCCCCCAGACATTGCCAAATGTCCCCAGGAGCTGCAGAATTATTTCTAGGTGAGAATCACTGAAGGAACACCTGAGAACCAGAACATTTGGCCCTTAAATATCACCTTTCATATGGAAGTTATTGGGGATATGGAAAAGCAAGGCAATACTGCTTTTTGAATGTCACATATGTGTTAGACACCATGCTAAGCCCTTTTCCGTGTAATTTCTCATTTAATCCACAGAAGAGTTCTGAAGGAAAGGCATTGTTGCCCCCTATTATACAGATGAGGAACTCAGGACTCAGGCAGTTTATTTGACCCTGACTGCCAGGTTGAGCTTGTTCCACCTCCTCATTTCTGCCCCCACCCGCCTCATCCCCAGAAAGAAGACTGTGCGGGGCTTTCCTTTCCGTGTGATTGAAGTGCCTTTGTTCCCCTAGCACCTCACACCTTGAAAAGATCTCAGTGTTGGGGAAACCTAACTGACAGGCACAGGAGCAGCAGCTGTGTACTTTTCACCCTGTCAGAGAATGGAAGAGGGAGGGAAGCAGTGAGCTTTGCTAAAACAATCTCTTTTTTTCCCTGGTTAAATGTCTCTGCAGCACGACCGCATCCAAGCGAGTGCTGTATGTGACACCACTGTAAGGCTTCCCATCAGCCTAACAAATTGATCATTATGATTGTCTTGAAATGGAACTAGGTACAAGTTGCTAGTGGGGCCCTTCTCCTTGCATGAAGACTGCTTCACAATGAACCGTCCTCAGAGCAGCGAGCACAGAAGATTAGACATAATGGTTTATTTTCCTTCCAATATATGTTGATTTATGTGTGCAGTTGGGTGGATGGAGCTGAAAGAAATGTCTGAAGGAGAAGTGAGGTTTCTGTCTGTGGCATACATGTTTTACAGCAACGGTTCCTAACTGTTTTGAGGCTGTGGCCCTTCCCTTTAAAAAATTTTTGATTATGGTAAAATAAAATGAACAAAATGTTTGCCATTTTAACCATCCTAAGTGAACAAGGAGCTCTGGTAGCGTAGTGGTTGTGAATCGGGCTGCGAACCGCAAGGTCAGCAGTTCGAAACTACCAGCTGCTCCGCAGGAGAAAGATGAGGCGTTCTGCGCCCGTAAAGATTAATAGCCTCGGAAACCCTGTGCAGGGTCACTATGAGTCGGAACCAACTCCATGGCACATAACAACAACAACAACAACAACAAATGAACAAGTCAGTGACGTTAATTACGTTTACAATGTTATTCTGTTATCAGCCCAGACAGAAACTCAGTGCCTGAGGACCAATACTTTCTATACCCTCCACTCCCTGCTCCCTGGTAATCACTAATTAACTTTTTTTGGAAAGAAAATGTAAATTCTGAGAGGTGTTCGTTTTCCTGGCCTCTGGATTCTGGGCTTCTGGTTCCCTGCAGACTGTACAGCTCAGGACTGTATCATAATGACCCAGGTGTGAAACTCAACATCCTTTTAAGTACCCATCTCCCAAAGTAGAAATCCACTCATGGCGTGCATTTATGAATGCCTACGAATCGGGCTGCTAACCTCGGGGTCAGCAGTTGGAAACTACCAGCTGTTCCACAGGAGAAAGATGAGGCTTTCTGCTCCCGTAAAGATTTACACCCTTGGAAACCCTGTACAGGGTCGCTATGGGTCAGAACCGACTCCACGGCACATAACAACAACAACCACAACCCATCATTTTACACACATCTCTACCTATTGTTGACTTGTTCTTCTTCCTCTTCTTTTCTGCCCTCCATGCTCACCCCCAATGCTACCTCCTTTATGAGTAATTCAACAAAAGGCCTCCCAGTTTCTCTGTCTTCTGAAGTCTGGGTTCCAGGTAACATAACACCAGGCCCTGGAGAGCTCCCTCCCCTTCTATACCTAAGTCTTCTGAAAGCTTTATTTCAAATAGACCATTATAGAGAATTGAACTATTTCCACCTAATGTGGCGCTGTAGGATAAGCACTGGATCTAAAGGGTGGTTTGACCCACAAGGTTGGCAGTTTGAACTCAACAGTTACTCCTGGAAACCCTATACAGGGTCGCTATGAGTCAGAACTGACTTGACGGCACTTAATAAGAACAGCAAGTTACATCTTAGCAAAAACTTGGAAATGCTCTAAATGTCCATTAAGATGTGTTATATGAGTTACAGTAAATGATGAGTCAGCTACCAGATTCAATATTTTGTAAACATTAACGGTGATTTTTGCAAAAACACTTCTAGATGTATAGGGAAAAATATTCAAGTGAGGAGTGCAAAATTCACTGTTGTGTGTCTAGTACTGTTTGAACCTTGTGAAACAGTGAGAGGGAAAAGGATGGGAATGCAGACTGTGGCATGGTAATTGGTATGGAGTCCTGACGAATGTTGCTTTCTTTATATGTTAAATATTCTCTAACAAATAGAAAGTTTGGTTTTATAACCAGAAAAAAATATGAACACAAATGACTTAAAAATTAAGGGAAGAGTTGCTGGACTGTGTATCTTCAAGCACAAGTAGGTCTGTTTTAACCTGTCTGATGTCTTGCTTTACCAAGTATCAACAACCTGCAGGCTGAGTTAAACAACGTTTTTGCCCTGCGGAAACAACTGGAGCAGGATGTGCTTTCCTACCGGAATTTGCAGAAAACCTTGGAGGAACAGATCAATAAAATTCGGAGGCGGGAAGGTATATGCTCTTGTGTATTTATTTCCCTTTGGGTTTGCCACTTGGAGTGCCCTGGCTGAACTTTTCGGAGAGTCCTAAAACTTCATTAGGAGTTGAAGCAATAGAAGAGTTTATGACGGGACCCAATTTCTGGTGGACTGTTTTAATGTAGGTATTCCTTATTTTTATCTACCTGGCTTTGGCTTTCATTATAGAAACTGAAAAAATGATACCAAATCCACTACTGTCTAGTTGATTTTGACTCATAACCACACTCTAGGACAGAGTAGAGCTGTCCTATAGGGGTTCCAAGGCTGTAAAGCTTTGCAGAGGCAGACTGCTACTTCTTTCTCCTGCAGAACAGCAGCTGGGTTCCAACATCTGACCTTTTTGCCACCAGGGCCACCAGCACTCCTCATAGTTGAAAGCCCAGTAAATTGCATTTATTGTTGCCTGTATAATTTTCTGCATCATTGGATGCTCCTAACTCTAGATAACCTCAAATCCTCTTTCTTTGATAAACAGTCCTTATTCCCAAAGCATCTGGCCTGTGCCTTCCCCATCACCCACTGCAGAGAGCCAGGACTGCAGAGACATGTAAGAGTGAGATAGCTGTGTCATTGCCATGACCACAAGTCAGTTTATAGAGAGAGGGCTGCAGGTGAGGGTTTCTGGTACTGGTGTTGCAGCATTCATCACAGCAATGTTTAGTTCTCTTTTGCTAGAACACGGACCCCTTCAAGTCTGCTTTGGTGCCTTATTCCATTCTAGATCCCTAGCCTGGTGCCTGGCACATAGAATTAATATTAGTAATAGCTATGGTAGGTGGTGATGGTTGTTGTTTACTGTTAGGTCGGTTCCACGTGGGGTTCCCAAGGAGCAGTTGGTGGGTTTGAACCACTGACCTGTGGTTAGGAATTCCATGCTTATCCTATAATGCTGCACCAGAGTAGTCATCTAATATTCCATTTATTACCCTCACAATTGTTTGGTTAGACAGTAGGTATAACTCCATCCTACAGAGGAGGAAACTGGGTCTCAGAGAGTGGGGATTGAATTGACATAGGGCCCCATAGTAAGTCACCCAGATTGGAAGTCTAACTCAGTCAAGCATTCTGCATTGCTGGCATATCAGATGTTATCAGTTCTTACCCATACTTGTTAAATGAGATAATGTGTGTGGACATGCCTTTCTCAGTGAGTGTCCTCCCCCTCTGTGCTTTCTTTCCTTCCTTATTAGAATGTGAACTGAACTGCAAAGGGAGCAGACCCTTATGTAGGTGATGAAAGATCATTCTCTCATCCTTGATCTAGTTGGCAAATTTTGCACTTGGTGTGGGTGTTGCCAGTGTGGACTCTGGGGCCAGTGAAAAGTACACTTTTATTTCCCTAGAGTTCTACTTTTGAGGGGTGCATCTAATTTTCCTGTTTTCTTGCCTAAACAGAGTCATTCCCTCATTTAAACTGAAATCACTGTTTGCTCATGCCACTGTCTCCCGACACAACACTTGATATGCAAATTGTAACTCAGAATTGGCCACAGTGAAAGCCTACAGCCCAAGATGAAACTATACATTGAGATATCAATCTGTAGAAAAGAAGGAAAATTACTTTTGTTTCAGAGGTGGTGCTGTAAAACTCCCTGTGTGTATTTATTCTCCTCTCTAACTTTCCCCTCACCCAAGTCAACTAACTTTAAATGGATTGCACTGGGATTGGCCTTGGAAGGATCAGTTTCTGATTTTCTTCTACTCTCCTTCCCCTCCCTGTTTTTTATTTTATTTTATTTTTGGCAGAAGAAACATTTTCATTTTATAGTGATCAAACATCTTACTTGAGTATTTGCCTTGAAGAGCACAGTCGGCTACAAGTGGAACATTTTTCTCAAGAAGAGCTTAAGAAAAAGGTATTGACCTGTTAACTTTTAGTGCTTCGTGGGTTATTCCTGATCTGAAGTATAAGATTCTGATAGCCCTTTCCTCTCCTTTCTTCTTCTCTCTCCCTTGTTGTCTTTTCATGTTCCTGGAGGACCCTCCCTCTGGTCTCACACACTCCTTCTCAAGCTTTCGAACCGAGCTCATCTTGGCTTTTCTGTAGGAAACCTCCCTGACCCCCAGGAGAGTTGATCATCTTTCCCTCAGATTACTCACTTCTGATTTGACCTAATGGCATTGCTGTTCTTCTCATGTTGCTGCTGGGTGAGTCAAGTCGATTCAGACGTACAGTGACCCCAGGTGACATAGCAGAACTGCTCCATGGAGTTTTCTAGGCTGTAAGCTCTGCAGGAGCAAATTGCCAGGAACTGCTTGATAGGTTTGAACCACCAGCCTTTTGGTTAGGAGCTATGTGCTTAACCATTGTGTCTCCTGGGCTCCCTATGTCCTTTTCATACTGATCTGTAATTGCCTGGTTATTCTTCTATGCCTCTCAATTGGCTGTGAACATCTTCAATTAGTGATTGCATTGTATTCATTTCTTACTTCCAAGAACATGACCCATGTGGTTGGAGTTAATAGGTGATTTTTGAATGTATAAAACCCCAGGGTTGATCAATAAATCTCTCTCTCTCACTTTTTTTAACCAGGAAGGTTTTACAATCTTTTGCTTAGAGTGGTTTCTAGGGTTTTAAGGTTCTAAGAGCCACTGATAAAAGTAAGAAGTGTGAATGCGAAGGAAGCTGGGTAATTTTCATAAAAGGATCATCCATTGTGACTTAGAGTCCATATCTGTCTTTGGATTAATTCCATCTTTAATGTTAATTCTGGTGGAAGAGACAGACACGCCAACAGGTCATTGCTACATGGAATGCGAGGGTTGTTTTGTCATAGACAGAGAGATGCATAAGGGAAAGAGAGATTGGGTGTGTGGGTAGTGGGACAAGACATAGATACCACTGGCTGCCTCTGATTGAGCACTAAGAACACAGTGCCTTGTGACCAAGGACTCTAGTGCCTTGTGACGATGACTCATATGCAATTCTCACAGTAACCCTGTTTACACATGAGGAAACTGAGGCTCTGATGGCACCTCGCTCAGGATCTCTACCTTGAAGGGGTGGACCTGCGACTAGAATATAGGCATGCTAAATGTTAACACCAGTGCTTTCCCTGCTGTGGTTAGAGTGGCTTGAGGACTAGAATCAGGCAGCCCAATGCTCCGTAACTGTGATGCTGAGGGTTACTCGGCATTGAGGAGGATGAACTGGGGGGGGGGGCTTAAAGTGACTGCTGGGTAGCCAGCCCTCTGCTCTTCTTTCCTAGGTCAGTGACCTTATACAGCTAGTGAAGGAACTGTATACAGACAACCAGCACCTGAAGAAAACAATTTTTGATCTCTCCTGCATGGGCTTCCAGGGAAGTGAAAGACTTGAATCAGTAGAACAAACAGAGGTAAGAAGAAACATTCATGATATTTTCTGATTACAAAAAATAACCAAAAGCATTTCTCAAGACTGCATCTGCCCTCTTGTTGAAATTCTCTTTGCAGTGGAAGGGGTTTTGAAGATCCTGTTAGGCCAGCAACTCTGTCCACTGGCTTCCTCAGGTTTTAAGTCACACCTGCATGGATGCTTTCAACCTCACCTGGGTTCTGTGTTGTAGATGGCACATCTGGGTGGGTGGTGTGCTCTTAGAGGGATTTGGAGAGTACACAGATAATTTGGGTGTTCTGGATGCTGCGTTAATGGATTGATTACCATTGAAAAACAGATTAGTAAGCACATTCATTTACTTTGTGTATTGCCTTTATGACCTGAATTTTGCACATCTCAAGCTAATGGCATCTTTTTCTGTACTTGACAAATGCTTGTAGTTCCTTTCTGTGCATGCCTAGGACTCCCTGCACTTTGCTGTGCAGTGGACACAACAGGGAGTAAACAGTTGGTGTCCCATCACCTCAAAAGTCCAGCTTTCTATCTAGGAGAATCTTCTGTTGGTGGCATTTGAAAGTCTGAAAAGGCCATGAAAGTCTGACCATGGCCCCGAAAGAGCTTGTGGTTCACTGGGCATCCCAGTACTTTATCCCACTTTAGAGAAAGAAAATGAAAGCCTTATTCACCCTGATGCCTTCTGGGTGTCAGCACTGATCACTGTGAAGTGTTAACTTTGATTTTTTTCTGTTCTTGATTCATGTTACATAGTAGAAGGACCTTGAATTGTGGCAGTGAGGAAAGCACACTGTTTTCTGCTCTCTAGCATCTCCAGGAAGAATCTTGCTCCATGAGTGTATTGTTTCAGATCGCCCAGTGGGGTGCAGTAGGCCTTTGGGTACTCCAGTCTTCCTGGGATCATCTTGTTTGGGATTGTGTTGAATTTAGCCTGGAGCGCCATATACATGAAGGTCTCATAATCATTTTTGTATCATTTCTGGGGGAAGATTTGCCAGCCCTTCAGCTATCTCCTCCTACCTTCATAGTAGGAAAAGCTCAGAAGTGTTTATGCTGAGCTCTGGCCATCTGCTCTGTTTGAGAGGGAGTATTATTGATCCTAGCCACCAGGGTGCCTGATAATTTTGAAAACCAAGAATATCTGCAATCCATTACAGTTCTGCTCTGCTTCTCCAAGGTGGCATTTTTAATAAGCAGATCTTTCTTCACCACTTCATTTAAATCTAAAATGGTGAGTTTTGTTTGTTCATTTGCCCTTTGAAAGAAATCTGTTAAATGTCCCATTATGTCCTTTGGACTTTTTCCTCTTCCCACTCTAAGATCTTAATACCACCCGATTCAGATTTGAGTCATTTGTCAGATTGCACTTCAATTTCATGTTCCCTATGAATAGCGTTGTCCTTTGGAGTGCAGTTTCCCATTTTCCTCCAGAATGGGATGGGAAGCTCAGCACTGGAAAAATTATGTGCCCACACTCATTTGGAGTGGAGAGTGGAGAAGGAGTTAGAGATGGGGGCAGGACGGCCAAAAGGGAGTCTAAACTCCCTAAGAGTGTGTACAGTTTACCTTTGACACAGGAGTTGGATTAGAAAAGTGTTGTCCACAGTGTTTTCCCAGCAACAGCGGGACTTTCAGGATGGGGGCTGGGCACAACTCCTGTAACCCAAAGAATGAATAAACTCAGTAAATATATTTTAAAAATTTGTGATATTTCTTCCCTAATATTTAATTTGATTACTACATTATCTAACTTTTGGAAAACCCTAATCCTATCACAAGGTCAGCAGTTCAAACCCACCAGCGGCTCCTTGGAAATCCTATTAAGCTTAACAGCACCAGCCACAAGAACAACAGGCTTTCAAGTAATGTTGCTTTTGTTATCCAAGGGACATTGTGTAGCATAGCCACACATAATAGTGGAAATCTTTTGTTTCCAGCTCCCTTGGTGGGAAAATCTCTTTCTCCAGTGATTCATTGAACTTCAGGCATTAGTTTTAATCTGGCCCCACCTATATGGGGAGTCCTTGTGTGATGCTGTAGCATAAACACTGGACGGCTAACTGTAAGGTGGCTCAAGCCCTTGGGGACCCTACACAATGTTGCTGTGAGTTGGAACTGACTCCAAGGCATTTAACAACAACACCCTGGTGTGGCACTGTAAGGTAAGCACTTGACCACAAGGTTGGGTTGAACTGCACGATCAGTGGTTCAACCTCACCAACCTCTCCTCGGAAATCCTATGCAGGGTGGCTATGAATCAGAACCGACTGGACAGCATTTGACAAGACCAACCACCACCTTTCTGAAGCTCACTGTCTAGATGTTAGTCACAAGAAACAGAGGGCCATCAGAATAGAAAGTGTGAGTACTCTGAGGGTGTAAATGCAGAATAGTGAGGTGCCCTAGGGCCCAACCCTCCCTGTTAGGGGTTAAGAGAATTTCTGTCTGTAGAAAGGAGCTCTGGCAGCGTAGTGGTTACGAATCGGGCTGCGAACCGCAAGTTCAGCACTTTGAAACTACCACCTGCTCCGCGGGAGAAAGATGAGGCTTTCTGCTCCCGTTAAGAGTTACAGTCTCGGAAATCCTGTACAGGGTCGCTATGAGTCGGAACCGGCTCCATGACACATAACAACAACAACAACAACAGGGAGGAGAAGTCTGAAAAGCAGATTAAGAAAGAATACCCCCTGAGGCAGGGGGAGGGTCAGGGGAGTGCTGTATTACAGAGGAGTGTTTAGCATAAAGCCAGATTCTGGGAGAAGACAATGTCAAGAAAAGGACCTGGGCAAACACATTTCAGTGGAGTGAGGGGCCAGTGAGCAGAGATGTGATGGGCATTGGGGAAATGACAACAAGGCGGGTCAGCACTTTGTGTGTAGGTCACATCTCAGTTGGTGACTGAGCTGGAGGCAGAGCTTGGTTATAGTGACTCAGAGTACTTTTTGACACCTTGTTTGAAGCCTTTGAAAATTAGTAAACCACCTTGACACAAGGAACTTTGATCTGTGTCCACACATTTAATTTCTTGACCATTCCTGGTAGCAGAGAGAGTTTGCTTTTAATTTTGACCAAGTCAATAAGGGTAAAGAAAAAATGGAAAGTTAATGATTAAGTAATAGCATGGTTGTAGTTCTGGAATTGCAGAATGACTCCAATGCCTTTGATTTTCACAGCATTGGAATGGCATTTATTAACAACAGTCTGTTCATCTTAGTTTAGGGGAAATGTTTCTCAGATTCACAGTTGTTGGGAAAAAGGCTGCTCTATGCAACTCCCTAGTCCTATGTGAATTTTATGTCCTGTATTGGAATGTCTTTGGGGACACTTCATCAACACTTTCTGGAGAGTGCTGGCAGCAAAGCCAGAGGGCAGAAGGTGAGGATAGGAGACCCTTTCTAGAAGCTAGTAGAGAGCAGACAGTGCTCAGTGGCCCAAGCTTTTGGGGACTCAGAGGTAGACTTTTGTTGCTGATGTTTTGTTTGTTGTTTTTTAAAGAAGGGAGAGACTTTCCCCCAACATTTTATTGTGAAACATTTTAAATATAAAGTGAAAAGAATTTTAAATGAAAATCCGTTACCTACCACTTGTATTTCACTATTCACATTTCTCATCTATCCATCATTACTGCATCTTATTTTTGATATCTTTTAATGTCAGTTATAGACAGCAGCATACTTCCCTCCAAATACTTCTGCATGCATTTCATTAGCTAGAATCTAATATTTACTTAAAGTTTTTTCTTTTAAGGTTAAATTTGCATGTAGTGAAATCTTAAATGTATATTTGCTAGGTTTTACCAAGTTTCTACCTATATAGCCCAAACACTTAATACGATCCCATGTGCCCCCTCATCTAGTGAGTCTCCTTCCCACCTCAGAGCTGCTCTTTTGCTTTTGATCCGCCATGGATTAGTCTTACTTGACCTTCACATAAATGGAATCATATAGTATGCATTCTTTTGTGTAAAATTCCTTTCACTCAGTTTAATGTTTCTGAGATTCATTCATATTGTTGCAAGCATCATCAGTTTGTTTCTTTTTACAGTAAAGTAGTATTCCATTGTATGAAAATATCACAGTTTGTCTGTACATTCTCCTGTTGTGGGCATTTTAATTGTTTCCAGTTTGGGGGTGTTATGTTAAAGCTGCTGTGTACACTCATGCACCAGTCTTTGTCTGGTGGACAAATATTTGTATTGCTCTTGTTAAATATCTAGGAATGGAATTTGTTAGATGATAGGGTAATTTTATAAGAAATTACTAGTGCTCTTTCTGAAATGGTTAATTAAGCATTTTATACTCTTACCATATTTGATAGAACCCTGGTGTGACACTGTAGGGTAAGCACTGGATCACAATGTTGGTTTGAACCTCAAGGTCAGCGGTTCAAATCTACCAACCACTCCTCAGAAACCCTATGGGTCAGAACTAACTCCATGACACTTAACAACAACAACAACAACCATGTTTGATAAGGAGTCCTGATAGTGTAGCAGGTTATCAGTTGGACTGTTAACCGCAAGGTCAGCAGTGTGAGTCTACTGTCTGATCTGCAGAAGAAAGATGAGGCTTTCTGTTCCCTTAAAGATTTATAGTCTTGGAAACCCATACAGGATCGCTATGAGCCAGAACTACTCCAAGGCACACAAGCACCACCATCTCCATTATATTTGATAGGTTTTGTCGATTTGTATCACTTAAGAAAGTCTTAAAACTGAGGGGAAGGAGCCAGTAGAAGGATAGGGTTTCTCACGTATTTGTAAGCATTGAGGTCTTAGTAAATAAATTTGCACAGATCTAGTCTGTTTACTGGGGTCGTAGTGTGGCTCTGTAGGATAAACACTGGATTGCAAGTTGGTTTGAACCTCAAAGTTGGTAGTTCAATTTACTGGCTGCTCCTTGGAAACCCTATACAGGGTCATTATGAGTTTGAATCAACTCGATGGCACTTAATAACAAGTTCATTTACTGGAGTCCTGGCGTGTTACTGTAGGATAAGCATTGGACTGCTGGACCAGAAGGTCTGTGGTTCAAACTTACCAGCTGATCCTTGGAAACTCTGTCCAGGGTTGCTGTGAGTCAGAACCAACTGGACAGCACTAAACAGTAACAGTCTGTTCATTACAGTACCCGGGTGATGCAGTAGGATAAGCACTACACTGCTAATCACAAGGTCGGTAATTCAAACCCATGAGGTTGCTCTGTGGGAGAAAGATGAGGCTGTCTGCTCCTGCGAAGATTTGTAGTTTCGGGAAACCCTGCATAGGGTCGTTACAAATTGGAGTTGACTCCATGGCAGTGGGCTTGGTTTTTTTTCTCCCTTTTAATCTGCTCACTAGTCCTTTTTACTGTGGTGACTTGCACATTGCTATGATGATGGAATATATGCCACTGGTATTTCAAACGTAGCTAGTCCCCAAATTATGATGGAATTCTGTTCTGACAACTCTGGTGTCAGTTGGTTCTGATGGAAATTTTGTTTTAAGTTTTCAAGGCCTGCTAGAAGGCAGTATTTTTTTTTTTTTTTTAAGTTTTTATTGTGAATTATGTGATAGTTTACATGGGAGAACGTTAGCTTTACATTTTATCCTGTCTTATTTCATTTCATTGCAATGATTATAATACCCTGCATGCATCACCAAACAGCCAAAGGGTACACCCCAGAAACCTGTCCCCTGGCCATCAACACACAGACCCTTTCCCTCCCTGAGTCCAGAGTCCCCAGCTGCTCCTTCTGTCCACATTATTGTCTCTGCCTCCATCTCTTGTATTGCTACTTTTCTGGATAGGGTCCCGCACTCCGCTGTTCTCCCTTGAAGGTCCCAGGTTCCTCCGGTCCTGGACTGCAAGATCAGCCACTCCCCTCCGTTTGTTACAAAACGTCTGCCTTTACATTTGCAACACTCACAATCAGTCCTGATAGCAATTCTTCACTATTGAACCGCAAGAGTTTTATCCCCATCTCCTTTCACCAGCCCCATCCAGACAGGTTGGAAACTGTGTGGACTCAGTGAAGATTCTACCTGCCCCCACTCCTTCTTGAAAGCTTGTAAGCCAGCCACTTACTGCCTTTGTAGGCTCCCCTTTCCCATTTTGGGTAGCCAGTGTCTAAGTTGCCCATCCCTGTCAGCCCCGTGTACCGAGGAGGTGGGAATAATGCTCGCTGTAATGATTTATTCCCTCTTTTGAGCTATTACATCCACAAGCATAGGTCAAGTTAATCAAATTGTAGTGGATTGCTCTTTTTTTCCTCTTCTTTCTTCCTCTAGTCGAGTTCTGGTCATCAGCCATTGAAGCCAGGTCAAATGGGTACTATCTGCAAGTATGGATGTTCTTCTGCATCTCCCCTCACTTCATTATCAGCCGGATGCTTCACTCTCCACTCTGTGACCATGTCCCTGTCCCTGTCCCTGGAACCAGGAGTCCCTAGGTCTCACCATACTGCTGGCCAACCATGCCTCAACCCAGGTTGACAGGAGTATTGAACGTGGTTGGACTTAGCTCACAACTTCATTGCTGTTTTTCTCCCACTTCCCCTTATCAGTGACCAACGTGCTCAGCAGCAACACCACATGCCTGCTTGTGTATTCCCCTTGAGTCTTAGTCTTGGAAGGGGGTTTGCCCTGAGGAGACCCTACCACTAGCCTTGATGGCTCCTGGGTGAAGACTTACTTGTTCTTGTAGTAGTCAATCAGACTGCCATTATTGTTTTTGATTTTTCCTGCTGGTCTTTCTTTTCAAGAAGTATCTTCTGTTCTTATAGCCATTCCAGGCTGGTCTGCTTGTCCTTTCAGTGGAAGTTTCCCACCTCAGCAGGTTCTGGATGAGGATCAGGATTCCACCTATGGTCTTATGCAATGCAAAGGTTCCACAGGAAGCCTCCTTCACAGGGCAAGTTCTAGCCCCATTTTAGATATTCCAATTAGTTATAGGCTGAAGACGGACTTACAAGCTTTCTATGTTGTTGTTTCTAAGTATTCTTTTCTCTACCCCTCAAGAGTCTATTTTACAATAGTAGGTAAGGGAACCCAAGATTCAAAAGACAGCCAAGCATCTTAACATTATTTCCCCTCTTTTGTCCATTCAAACCATGTCTCAATCCTTGTATCCCAGAGCCCTGTGTTCCAAGGTTGTATGTTAAGTTGTTGTTGTTAAGTGCCGTCGAGTCGGTTCCGACCCATAGCGACCCTGTACAGGGTTTCCGAGGGTGTAAATCTTTACGGGAGTAGAAAGCCTCATCTTTCTCCCGCGGAGCAGCTGGTAGTTTCGAACCGCTCACCTTAAGGTTCACAGCCCGATTCGTAACCACTACGCTAGGTTGTATATACATCATTATTTACCTCTGTCCCACTTAGCCCATGCAAACCTGCCTAACTGTTCTCCCATCCATAGAAGGCAGTATTTTTGAACAGTAAATCATAACAGAACATCTGGCGTGAACATCTGAGATTGATTACAAAAAATCCCCAACAAAACAGGTAGTTGTAAGTATGGTTTGTTGTAACTCAAATACATCTTAAGCTGGGGACTACCTATTCCAACTATGTTGTCAGGTTCCATTGCAGCTTCTAGACTAAGCCAGATGAGGAAGAAAGGTCTGGTGATCTAATTCTGAAATTAGCCAATGAAAACCCTGTGTCTCACAGCAGAATACTGTTTGGTGTATTGCTGGAAGATGAACCCCCTAGTTTGGAAGGCACTCAGAATACACAGCGGCCTCCACAGTGGACTGGAGATGACACAGTGTGAAGATGATACAAAACTAGGCAACATTTTGTTCCGTAGCACATGGGGTTGTCAGTGGCAGACGACAGTGATACTACCATTTAAGTATTAACCAGTTGCTGAATGCTTGAACCTTAGTATAATCAGATTTGGGTTTTATGATCTTCAGTTCCAATTGATACTAACTGCAGGGTGACTATGATTTGGAACCTACTCAACAGCACCTAACAGCTAACAACAAGCCTTTGAATATATTCCGACACTGGGATGTTTCTCTAAGAATCATTTTCTGAAGACAGTTTGCTTTGTTTTACGGTTTTCTTCTTCCAAAACATGCCCACCAAGTGACCTTGTATTGTTTGTGCATTCGGCACCCTTTTTTGTGTGTAGAAATAAGAGTCCAAGTTTATTTATATAATCCCCTTGATTGTTAACCACCCGTACCTCCACCAATTGGAAGGAAATCCCTTATTAGTCATCCCTGTTGCAATAATCTTCAATGCTGGGCACAGTTTCCAAAGATCAAATGCTTGAGAGCTCTAGACCAGAAACTGGGAAGATCAAGGCAAGGCGGAGAGGGCACTAGGGTTGGAATTTCTGAAAGGGAGCATTTATCTCATAGGAGGCTTAGCACGATAGGGCTAGGGTAAGCATGGCTTTAGTGATTAGCTTTTGCCTCACTGATCAGAAAGAGTTTGGTGTATTTTTGAAACAACTTTGACTGATCTAGGTTTTCCTTTCTTCGCATGACCACCTCTCCTCTCACTTTTTCACTTGGTTAGTCCAGGTGGCCCCTGACTAGACATCACTTTCCCGGAGAGCTGGGATCCTGCTTTCTTGAGACCCTCTATCGAATGCAGAGTGCAGAAGCTTTGGAATTTATACTTATTTAGAGCAGTAGGAGTTTTGCAGTCTTTTTGAATCACTGTCCTTCATTTCTGAAAGCACAAAGTCATCGTCAGACAAGCCTGATACTCTGCTCATTAGTAATGAGGATTTTTTGTCAACAAAATGACAGTGTTGTTGAGACTGTCCATCTCAGATGTCTGGCCCTCAGAAAAGAAGTTTGCATGGCGCTAAAGAGGAGAAGCAATGCATAAATTTGGCACACCATAAACTTCATTTACTGATATTTTCAATTCCATCCATAGCTATTTTCAAAAATCTTCCTCCTTCTCTATAATCTGAAAGTGAATTTAGCAAAGGCAGGAATTGTAACAACACAACTGTTGGCGTACTCAAGTTAAAACAGCTCAGGCAGTGCGAGGGCAGCAGTAGTAAACAGCTTTGGTTATTTTGGGGGAATTTTTCCTTAAATTATGCTTGATCCCAGGCAGCTGTGTGTGATTTGTCTAAATTAACAAATTCTAACTGTGGTTAATTTTTATTTTCATGGCTTTGGCATATTTTTCCTGCTTCTTTTTTTGTTGTTGTTTTACATAAAAAAAAAAAAAAAAGACATCACTGACTTATTCATGCTGCACATATTTTTGGGTTGGATTTTCACACCATTCCATGCTCCATGTAGCTTCTGGCTAGCAAGGAGGATGAGGACACACTCAAAATTGGAGAGGACGACAAGAATCATTTCCGTAGTGACCAGCATTTGGAGCAGAGTGATGAGGTAGGAACGTGACAATCAACTCCTCATTCTGCCCACCCCAAGCCCATGCTTTCTCCTAGTCTTGACTGAATTCTGCCTGAATGGAGTGCCTGCTGTGTGCTACAAAAGAGATTTAGCCCTTTGCTCCTGAACTTGGTTGAAGATGACATCAAATGTATAGTTGCAAATTGTGAATATAAAATACAAAGTGTAATTATGAGGGAATACAGTCATCTGAAATTGGACCTGGACGGATCTTTAGATCTCTAAGTCTAAAGAACCAATGATGGAAGCATACTTCCCTCATTGGGAGATTGGAAACTACAGATTTGTCATGTATGGCTTTCAAGGAGTCAAGAATAGGAGACCATTAAAATGTAGATCATTTTGGAGATCAAAACAATTAAATAGGGGGTTTTAGTGTCAGAGAGACCTGCGTTTGAATCTTGCCTTTGCCATTGTTAGCTATGTGACAGGGGCAATTCGTGTAAACTCTAAGCCTGAATTTTCCCTGCCAATGGGGATATTAGTATTTCCTTGTTAGGATTGTTGTGATATTTAAGTAGAAAGGCATATAGTAATTGCTCAGTAGATGATAGCAATTACTATTTTTATAATTATACTTTGAACTTTCCTTCCATTGTAAATAGCTTATTTGATGAATTTAAGAACTAGATTGGTGGCAAACAAGACCCTGTAAATAACAGCTCATTTGTGTGGGTCTTGTCTTCCATCTCAAAATCTTAATCATTTTACAGGTATGGAGAGAGCAGTGATGGCTAGTGTATATATCACCAGCAGTAATGAAGTCAAGAGGAGTTATTTATAGACTGGTGGAGGAAATTTACAGCTTTGGGAAGAAGAGAAATAATGTTAATTGCAGCTCCTCAAGACATGCCCAGCACAGGCTTTAACTAGATGTATCCTTGGTGCCACTCCTATGGGACCCTCAGTGACCCAAGAAGGTGGATTCATAAATAACATCTCCCTGGAAATGAGGAACTCCCCATCCTTATAATGAAACAAATCAAAGTCATGTTAATTAGTATGTGTCTGTAAAGAATGAGTCTGCTTTCTGATAAGAAGAGTGATAAACTGCTGGAAGCATATAATTAATGTCCAGAGGACGCATTACTAACGGTGTGTTTCCATACCCTTCTTGGGAAGAAAGTACAAGGACTTGTCACGGTGGTGTGACTCACATCCAGTGTGACCAGTAAGACACTGCACTAGGCACTTACAGTGAGTTTTCCATCTCATTTCATTTTTGTAAGCGCCTTGGCAGATGGGTATTACTATTCCCATTTTATAGATGAGGAAACTGAGGGTAAGGAAAGGTGATGTCAACATCTCTGTGTTCCTTCCAGAATATTTTCCTGCTTTTTGGCGACTGTGTGGGGACCTGTGTGCCTGTGTCCCTCTGTCCCCTCCCTCCTCCCTTCATTTTCTTGGTCTTTTCCTCACTGGCTCTGGGTCTCTGGCTCAAACTTGTCCATTCACCCTTGGTCTCCATCCTGTGTATCCCTCTTTGTGTCTCCTTAGCCTCTTTCTTATTTCATTGTTGGACCAAATCATTTTATTTGCAGATCATGGAGGACTGTCCCAAAGGAGGCTGTAAAAATGGATACTTACGGCACACAGATTCCAGTATTTTAGACTACGATGGAGCCTGCAAGCCTAGTTGTCCTGGGGACCTGAGTCTAGAAGGAGGAGAGCTCATGAACCTGTTTGCCCCTTTCTTTAATGAGAAAGCCACATTGTTACTGAAATCCAGGTACTTGTGGGTATTACTGTCTCTTTCTAGTGTGAGAGGAGATCAAACTCAGTTTGCTAAATGGATTTGGATGGTGGTGCTCTGTGGTTTACCTGAGCAAGCTCCTGAACCGGCTGGAGGGAATCTTGCCAGTGATGCAGATGTAGAATTAGGTTGTATGCTAGTGGCTGTGAGGGGACTTCAGCAAAACCTCCCGTAAGCCCATTATATAGAGAGAATTTGAAAGAAAGCTTTTCTTGAGAATTATTCCTGGGGGCCTCCAAAGGGGCGGTCTGACTATCAGAGAGAAGAATCAGCTGTACTGAAATCTCTCTTCCAGTTTCTGCAACTGATTAAAAAATACCATTGTAGTTATGACTCTGCTGTTTTATGTTGAGCTTGAAGTAAAAATTTTTATCTGCTGGGAGTCATTCCTGTGTGAGGAAATAATACAGGTTGTTTTTCTTAAAACCAAATAGAAGAAACAGTCGGTACATTTGTATTTTTAATTAATCCTTTAGGAGCACTTTCCCCCTCCCCCTTCACATGCTTTCTAGCCTATCACAACAGGCTTTGGAATCAGGAAGACATTTGCCACCAACTCTCAGTGCCTCAGTTTCTTAGATTATTTCTTGGAAGCTGTGAGGATTAAGAAAAGATCATTTTTATCAAAGTGTCTAGCACACAGTGTGTGTTCAAGAAAAGTTTTCAGTTTTCCATTGTGGATGGAGAAGTGGAGCTGGAGGCTTCTGTTCAAGACTCTTGGCAAAAGCCCGGAACCCTAGTATGTGTATCTCCTCTGTCATTAGTGAGCTAAGCCTGATAAACATTTCACTAGCTAAGAAAAGGATTGAAGCATTTGGTTTGGGAGCTCTGGCTAACCTCTCTCCAATCCCCTGACATCCTTCTGTCATTGTGCCTTGAGTCCTGTTGGGGACTCTGGTTGGTCAAGAACACGACTAATTAGGCACAGACTCCTTATTCCATCCCAGTGGATAGGTCAATTGAATTCAGTTATTTTCGGGCATAGATCCTGGGTCTTGGTGGACTTACCCAGTGATTATTCTGGTTTGTCTTAAAAGAGTGTCAGGTGACCATAGTTGAAACTTGAGAAATGGGGGATTCCCTAAACATCAGGGTCCCATCTTATGTATCAGAATTTAAAAATGTAACCCTCTCTGATTACCCTGCAAGAATGTACTTGAGTGAACTAAGCCAACACGAAGTGCAATGGGCTTTAATGGGAGTGTTTTGATTGGGGTAGTTGTACTCCCCTCAAAGGAACAGGAATGTTTCAGTTCCACATGGTTGTTGTTGTGCAAGCACATGGGCTGAGATCACTTAGACTGTCAGTGGAAGTCCAAAATATTGATATTTAGAAATTTAGACATAATTATATTTCTTAAGAAAGCACTGTGGGAGGCAGTACTATGCAGACCAGTTTTGGTGTGTGTTTTTTTAACTTTTTATTGTGAATTAGGTGCAGGTTAATAGACAAGGTTATCAGTTCTACATTCAGCAAACTATCCACCTTGTTTCATCTCAGTGATTGCAGTCCCCTCCCTGCAGCAACATTTATTCCACTTCCTCCCTGTGGCTCCCTGTTTACATCTTATATTTCATAAATGAACAAGGTAAAAATATTTGATGTGTACTTAAAACAAAAAAATATATTCATTTGAAAGCCCCACAAGCACATAGCCACTGTCTTTGCTGACACCACTTTTCTAGGTAGGGCTCTCATGCTCCACTCATACTCTTCTTTCTTGATGGTCCTGGGATCATCTGTTCCCGACATGAAAGATTACATACTCCCTCCTTTTAGTTACACATTTTCTACTATTACAGTTATGACAATCGCAATTAACCCTGCTAACAATTACTCAACATTGAGTCATAAAATCCTATCACCATTGTCTTTTACCAGATCCATCTAGGAAAAAGGGAAACTGTTGAGTGGGGATTCTGCCTTACCCCCCTCATTCTGTAGCTGAGCACACTCATGAGAGCTTGTAAGCCAGTCACTTCATGCTTTCATAGCCCCACCCCCCCACCAACTTTTATAGCTAATGTCTAAATTTCTCATCCCTATCAAACCATTATGCTTAGGAAATAAGGCTGTTCCTTGATATGAAGAATCCTTTCATTGTAGTTGGAATTTTGAGTCACTGCATTTATTGGCAAAAAATCTAGTTCTTATTGAAGAAAAGACCTGCAGAAGAAAAAAGCAGACTGTTTGGCTGTTTGAATATCAAGCAAGCTGTTTGCTTTGGAGGCATCAAGGAAAGTACAGTCAGTCCATCAGGAAAAACCCCCTTGTAGGACTGAAACTCAAAGGGAGCCCATTTGTTGCAATTTGTACTTGTTCTCAGTATTAAACATCTTTATCTTCCTCAGTGCAAGTTTGGGAGTTCATGCACGCCTCCCTGCACTTCAGACTAGTTGGCTGCTTCACTCTTGGCCCCCAGGGCTAGGTCAGTGACTGTAGGCTCAGAAGTTCACACATCTTCCTAAACTTCAGACCAGCCAGCCCTTCCTCTTCCCTCTCTCATCTCAAGGTCAATGGGTGCCAATAGAACATGGCCAGAGTCAGCCCATGTCTTCATTGCTGCGTTTCCCCTATTTCCACTCACAAGTAGACCCTAGTGGTCACCAATGAACATAGTAGACTGCTCATGGGTTCCCTTTGAATTTCAGAATTTCACCTATGGCTACATACTCTACAAAGGCTTAACAAGAAGCCTATTTCCCTGGGCAAATTCTAACTCCCCTTTTAGAAAATCCATTCAGTTGTAGGCTGAAGCTGGGCTACAAGCTTTCTGTCATCATAATTCTCATTATTCATTTCTATCACCAATAAATGTCTATTTTACAATTATGGGGAAGGGAAACCAATATCCACAAAACAGTCAAGCATATAAACATTCCCACCCTCCTTTACCTATATTAGCTATGTTCAGACCAGTTTTGACCTTTGCTATTCAGTTACCTGTTCCCTTCCCAGCACTCCTAATAGATGTATGTTTCACAGATCTTCTGGGCATTGTTGGCCATCTCCATTGTTGGAAAAGGCTTCCTAATGTCTGAATATGCCGCCCTCATCTAAACCTCTGCGTAGTGTCTGTTCACTGTGCACTGCCGAGCCTTAAGAGAGTGGGTCATGAAAGTGACCCCAACAGGCCTGCTGAGGTCCACCTAGGATCTGCACCTCATCCGGCACACATACTCCACACCTGCCTCATTTCCTCCTCTTACCAACCTTGCATGCTGCTGCTGGTGATCGCCTTATAGGTGTGGGAACGGACATTTGTCAAGGTCATAGTCCCTTACCCAGTAAGTAATAGAGCCATTGAAGAATTTTCCAAGGAAATTAAAAAAAACAACACTTTTCCTTGGGATAGCTCTGATTGGGCAGGGAAACATCAATTTTTCTACCTAGGAATCCCCTCCAGCTGGTAGGTGTGCCCTGAAAAAAAAACAGGATTTAGAGTCAGAAATACATGGTCTCTAGCCCAGTTGTGCCATCTTGGTTTATTTATCTGTAAAATTGGAATAATAATACTTATTTGCCCTGTAGAGATCTTGTGAAGATTAAATGAAATAATGGATATAGAAACCCAGATTGGTATTAAGTGGAGTTTTGGTGATGTTTCTAAGGGGCTCTGGTAGTGTAGTGGTTACGAATTGGGCTGCAAACTGCAATGTCAGCAGTTCGAAACTACCAGCTGTTCCGCGGGAGAAAGATGAGGCTTTCTGCTCCCATATAGATTTACACCCTCTGAAACCCTGTACACGGTCGCTATGAGTCGGAACCGACTCCACGGCACATAACAACAACAATCCCACTCACCCCAGGCAAAATTTGCACTACATGCAAGGACCAGTAGCCAGCCAGTGAATCTGTCTCTGTGTTCATTGCTGAGCCAGTTTCTGATAACCCCAGTGCAGCTCTGATAGAGCTAGATGAAAAGATTCAACTTAGACTTTGAGCTTCCCCTTAGCCTTTGCACTCCTCACCTTGGAGCCTTCCACTCTGTGACCTAAGGGGCTAGCAGAGTAGCTAGGTCAAGAGTAACTGATTCCGCTTACCTATTCTCTAGAATTGAATAAGATACCTTAGCCTGATTCATTGTCTTGCCCTTGACCAAGCAAAGCAGTTCTTACCTTGAAGGTTGAGTGGAAAGGGTCAGAGTGAGATTCAGCCTGACCTATGGAGAATGGACTGGCATGGTCCCTGTTCTCCTGGAAGTTCACCATGGGTGTGATTCCCTACCCCTCTCTGTGCTTCCGAATCACCTGGTTTCAACTGCCTGGAATACACATGGTGTAGGATTTTACCACTTAAAGGTTTGTGGTCTTTGCAGCTAAAACTAGGTGAGAAATTTGATATTTAAAAAATTGTTAACAACGTTAAAGGGGATCTGTGGGGACTATGTAATTTTTTTAAGTCTTTTTTTTTTTTTTTAAAGGCTAATAGTTTCATTCTGTTGTGCATAGGGTTGCTATGAGTCCGTACCGACTCTATGGCACCTAACAAAAACAAAACTAGTACTGTGTAATCTTTCAGAATTAGAGAGGACAACTCCTAGGAAATCTGAGTTAGAATACTCTTGAGACAATGAGGGATAGGTGAGCTTCCACCAGGCTGGCTAGCACCCAAAGAGAAACAGACCAAGACACTCCGAAGTCTTTAGGAGAGAAGACTTTGCAAGTGCATTAAGGTAGGTTCCGCATTGGAAAGGAACTAGACCTTTGGAAGTTCTATTCAAAAACTGTGTTGGCTTTCTCCATCACCACCCACATTTTATGGGCTTGTAAGTCCTGACCATTCATCTCCTAAATAGTTCTTGAATCCACATACTTTCCTCTACCATTAGTGCCATGTCTGCAGTTTAAGCTTTCTCTAAGAATACTGCAGTAACCTAACCAGTGCCCTGTAGCTGCCCTTGCCCCTTCCATACTGTTTTTCATATTGTTTGTGGAGTGAGTACTTGAATATGTCAGAGACACTACAAAACCTG